GTTGTTTGCTGTTGTTGTTGCTTCTCTCTGAAATGGCTTCCTTTGCGGGAAGCCATGAAACTGAAGTCCTAACAAAAACATAATTTAGCCGTCCTTTTGGGCCCATTGCTCGCTTATTTATCATGAAATTGCTTCACTAGAACATTTTTAATAATGTCTATGGGAAACATTGTAATTTTCTGAATTAAAAGTTTATCGTTTTGAGGTGTTTATTTTATAAAATAGCACGTGCGACAAAATGGCAATAATGTGGTTTCTCACGTCTGACAAACAACCAAAATTTGAAAGTTCTTATTTCACCCTTTTATAGCTATGTGGAATACATGAATATTAGGTTATCTTTTTCATGTGAGCATATAGATAACATTTCTACACAATAGTCCTTATGAAGGCTTATTTCAAACTAAAAAAAAGCAATTGTTTTTCAGAGCCAGACTTCAAAAGAGAACGTGTGTCTGACATTTTTATAGCAGCCTCAGAATCTAGTTCCACAGGTGTGACGCTTGTGTGAAAAATTATCCGTATTTATCAAAATTTCAAGTTGTATTTCGAACAATTTCGTTTCACAAAGCATAATGACTGACTTTGATAGTCAATCTATATGTTCAGAGTTAAATATATCAGAATCAGAGGGAAATACAACCAAAATACAGAACCTAACATCTCAGGTTGTTGAACACGACGGCGAACAGTCTACCAATGAAAGCAGATTTGAGCTGGAATCGCTGGACATTTTTTCACAGCATTCCAGGGATAAAGATCAAGGTGAAAATAAAGATCAAAGCGAAGCTCCTTCAAACTTACGTAGACTTTTCATCACGGAGAAAGGAATTCTGAAATGGTGAAGCGATTATGAGGGCCTTTGTCATGTGTTGAACAGCTACAACTACAGCCAGGGAAGTGGACTACACCGAGGGGACAGTGTAAACAATCTGAGAACAGCGATGTTGTAATATGCTGGTACATAAACTCTGGAACTTTAACAATAAAAGGGAATAAGGCAAAAGAAATTAAAGAAAAACTTTTATATTTCGACAGTAATTCGAGCGACAAAGTCATTACAGATTCGGTTAGTTCAAAGTGCAGTAATTTGCATTCCACTCTCAAGTCACAAGATAGTAATTTACATATTAGTTCACGAAACAGTCTCCTGAATAATGAAACACTACGATCTAATATGTATAATCCCTCCGTTAATCCGAATGAAACAAATTACACACATAACTCGGAAATTTATGAAATCAAATCTAACATGGAGTGTTTTGCCAATTCTGTCAACCGAAGATTAGAGGTCATTAGCAATGAAATATCTAGCATCAAAGAGTTTAAAGCTTACTCTATACTGTCATTAGAAGAAGTCGTTAGCGATTTGAAAAAGGAAAAGCTGGTGCTGAGCAACAAGAATGATAAATTAGAAAAAGAAAATAAAGATTTATGTGTATCTTTGTCAGAGCTTCGAGCTAA